TTTTTTTTTTTTTTTTTTTTTTTTTTTTTTTTTTTTTTTTTTTTTTTTTTTTTTGACATCCATGACTATAAACACCGAAAAAAATTTAAAATCAATATATAAAAGGGAGAAAATATCTGAACAAAAACTGTAAACGCCGGTGTGTAATAGAACGGGCAATGCAATATTTTCAGGCCACAAAAATAAATTAGAAGATAATGATTAGAGAAGGATACACTCGATGCTCTGCTGAGAATTGTTGAGTTTGGATAACTTCTCAGACAACACCTGTGCTTCAAAACCCTCGTTGTTCATCCCGTGACGAGAATATTATTACATTACCCTGCAGCAAAGTTCCAAGAAAAACTAGCAGTTCATCGAAGCTATGTAAGCTCTGAAAATAGTGAGCACGCGAATTGTAACCAAGAACAAAACTTCAAAAAAGCTACCTTCAACATTATTTCCTAATATAACTAGGCATAACTATCATTCTCAGCACGAAAAACAATTTACGCGAAGCCCAGTTCGAGAACTTATGGAAAAACAACATTAGGGTTCCACACCCAATCAGTAATTCCTCGCCGCTAACGAAAAGGGTGGATCTAGATTTCCATAAAAGCAAAAGAAAGAAAAAAACATTTGAAATTTCGAATACCTGGCGTCTATTGATTCAAGAACTCCACTCTTGACGATAGCCTTTCCCGATAGAACCTCGGGGAGATGAATTACAGGAAGGGAGAAAAAAGGTTGCTGATTGGCGATGATTTTTCCTGGTATTTGTGTTCCCTTGGCAATAGGGATTAGGATGAAGAGAGAGTAAAGAAATTGAAACCGAGAAGGAGTGGGAAAAGTTGTGGGTTTTTGGGATTCCCTAATTCACCAGCAAATGATGGTCCAGAAGAAGGGTGATAAGTGGAGGAAGATGAAAAAACTGGTTTGCAGAGAGTTCGTCAAAATATCGAGAAAAAATGTTGACCAAGAATGGAAAATAAAAATCTCTAATAAAACTTTTCTTTTTTTCTTTTCTAATTCTCTAAATTATTTTATTTTCCTTTCAAAATGTTAATTTTTAAGTTAAATTATCCATCTAAATCTTAAATTTCCAGAAATTATAAATTATCATATTTTTAAATGACATAAATATTCAAAATTATATTTAATAAAAATTTAAAAATTATTATAGGGTGATTTAAATCCTAATAATTTTACTGATCCATATATCAAAATTTTATTAAATTCATATCAAATTTAAAAACATATAAACTATATTGTTACATATTAAAATTCATGCACTAAGGTCATGTCTTTCGTATTATAATGTGAGCCCCAAATTCGTAATTTCAAAGACAGTTAATATAAATTTAATTTAAAATTGATAAAAAGCAATAAAAATTTAAAATGGCATTTACTTCATTAAAAATATAAAAATTGTATTACCTAATTATACGTAAAAATCTTATTCTCAATTGATAATATCTAATAAATGGGTGATTTTTAATAATTATTATAAACAAATAAATTAAAAGGAAAAAAAAAAATTGTCAACCATGGAGGGAGTAGGTAAAGGATTCATGGTTGGTGAAGTTGGGACTTTTATCTTCAAATCCAGTCCACCGGAATCTATTGCGTCGGGGAGAAAATTGCAGTCGCAAAGCTAGAGCGAAGAAATGGAGATCTTCTGGAGAGCGATGGAACAGATCAATTGGTACACCGGATTATCGCCCACCGCCTTCTTCACCATACTTGCCTCAATGATCTTCGTGTTTCAAATGGTTTCCTCCATGTTCGTTTCTCCAGAAGAGTTCAATAAACCCCCAACTGTTCCTGTTTCTTCATCTAACTCGGCCAATTCGAATTTGTTTGTTGACGATTCGGTCGCCGACGCCTCGCAATCAGTCCAAGTAGGGCGATTGACGGAGCAGCAGTTGAGGGCTTACGATGGCTCCGATCCGAATAAGCCACTTCTTATGGCTATAAAGGGTCAAATCTACGATGTATCTTCCGGCAGGTACTTTTTTCTTTTTCTTTTCCTTCATCATTCGTGGAGCGAATTCCGTTTGGTCTCTATTTAGAAATTTGCTCATAACTTGCATAGTTGCCTACTTTCATGAGTTGAAGCAATGAGTATGAAAATTCTTCTTAATCCTCGCTCTAGATGAAGAACTACTTCTGTTTATCTCATGACTGGAGTTCAAGAATTGCAGAATTTTAAACAAAACTGACCAACCGGTGATATTTATTGAGGATATACATTAGAATTTCTTGAGCACACTTCCCGTTGTAATCCCATTTCCACTACTTGTCAATTGTCATATTGTCTGTTTTACGTCAAAGTTCCACTGATCAGCTCAAACTGTTAAGATCTTTGGCCAAGATTTTCAAGGAGGAGAATATTTTTGCACAAAATGTGTTGGCGAGAGGATTGTCAAGCCTTCCATTCGGTTTCTTTGTGTGAGAAAAAGGGTGGTCGGTGTTGGATGAAAGTCCCACATTGACTAATTTAGGGAATGATCATGGATTTATACCATTGTGGAGAGTGTGTTCATCTAACAGTAAGGAGTAAAAGAATGACAGTTGGGCTGTGTGGAACTGGGGACTGAAGTTGCAGAAGGGAAGGGGAAGTTTTTTTTCCTCTCTCTGTGAAAGCGGCTAATAACAGAAATTTTGTAAGTCAACCAGTCTGTTGGGGAATATTAAACTCATGGTCGAGTTTAGGAAGCTTTAGGGTTGGAAAGCCTCTCCATATTTATGTAATACATGGCTGGATTTGTGATATCTCACATCAGTTGGAGAGGGGGAACGAAACATTCCTTATAAGTGTGTGGAAACCTCTCCCTAGTGGACGCGTTTTAAAACCTTGAGGGAAAACCTAGAAGGGAAAGCTCAAAGAGGACAATATTTACTAGCGTGGGCTTGGGCTGTTACAAATGGTATCAGAGCCAGACATCGGACGGTATGTCATTGAGGACGTTGGGCCATTAGAGGGGTGGATTGTGAGATCTCACGTCGGTTAGAGAGGGGAACGAAGCATTTCTTATAAGGTGTGGAAATCTCTCCCTAGTGGACGTGTTTTAAAATCTTAAGGGGAAGCCCATAAGGAAAAGCGGACAATATCTGCTAGCGGTGAGCTTGGGTTGTTACAGGATTGCTCAAACCAATGAACTATGAAGGATGTAGTATACGAAAAGAGTTTCCTAATCTTGAGTTTATGTACACTTAGTGTAATGACCAAAATAGGGTATGAAATTAGTAAATTCGTTGCTTGAAATAAGCAAACAGGCAGACCAAGTACAGACTTCTTAACTTTGTAGATTTTGTTTCGGGACGGGGTAAATGCAGTGATGTAAGGCAAGGGTAGTTGTTAATAGAGACTAGAAGGGACATGCAGCCGTTTGATGGTTCTATTTTGTCCCATGTTTCAAATACGAATATTATTGGAATTAAGACATCGGCAGTATAGAAACTATTAAGTTCTCTTCCAAACTACTACTGATATTGTAGGACAAGCACAGAACTTTGGGTTTCTCAAAGTTCATACGTTCCTTGAGAAATTAGAACTTTTGGCTTGTGTGAATTTATAAATTCTGAAAATAGAATTCATTACGTACATGTCTTAACTCGTTGAGCTATTACAATTACAATTGTATTGCACTTCAGCCATAATTTTTACACGACCACTTGACCCATCCAATTGAGTATCATATTGCACCCACCTAAAGTTCTATAAATCAAGTGTTATGTTTGCATTTCATCAACTGTTCTTAAGGATAGGGACTTGACAAACCTAATTCTGGACAAAATTGAAACTTCTTAAGAGTTGAAAGACTAAATTGAAAGATGTGTGATTGCATAGGATGACACTGTGTTTTTGGTTGGCTTTTCAGGACATTTTATGGTCCTGGTTCGCCTTACTCCATGTTCGTCGGGAAGGATGCTAGCAGAGCCTTGGCCCTCTTGTCTTTTAAACCTGAAGACATTAATGGTAATCTCGAAGACCTGAATGAAGAAGAGCTTGTAATCTTGCAGGATTGGGAATACAAGTTCATGGAAAAGTATGTGAAGGTTGGGGAGCTCGTTTCAGAGGAGGCATTGAATGAGCGTTCTGAAAATGGACACCAAAGTACCGATACCAATCGAGAAGAAGAACCCAACAAAGATCAATAAGAAGGCGTTTATTGCTTTCACCTTTCATCAGGCTGATCACTGGAAGTTCTTGACTTGAATGTGCCTGTCCTTTGCCCTTCCTCCGAATATATATAAGATATTGTGACTAGAAGTGATCAATCCGATTGAAGTTAGATATCCTGCAACATCTTGGCTAGATTTTTGGTTTTGTATATTACTTCACACGAAAATTTTTAATACATATTATTACCTACCGTTTGATGTGTGATATATTATTTTATTTTATAGGTCAAAACATTTAAAAAAGGTTGGCCGTCACAAACAATGAACCAAAGTTTACGTTACAAAATTTTCAATTTTGACATTATGATTCAATTTCAGGTTTTCGAATGATGTTCATGAAGGGTTCAGAATATTCCAGGAATTGCGATAACAAGTGTCTAATCTATCACTATTCTCACAGTTTTGTTACTCTTAAACGTTTTTAATCATGTATCAAGCATATTAAAATTTCATTTGAAAATGAAAATAGTAGCACGTGTGAATATAGAAGCATACATGAAATAATCTCATTTGTTGGGCTATAATTACCGTCTAAAACACAGTGAGTTTATGTCGCTTAATATTTTGTTGGGTCTTGAATGTCTATCGATACTTGAAGGTTAGTTGCCGACCCTCTAGTACCTCAACATAATACCACTAGAATATCGGGGAGCAACTACGTACCTAAACTTACTGTGATAATGCATACATAAACATAAGTGTTTATTTATTTTTGGTTTTACGTGTAATTTTGTAACTTAACAATATTTCAAGAACAAATGTCAAAGTAATTATTTTATATATTAGAAAGAGTGGGAAGCGTTTTGTTAAAAAGAAATAGAAAAAGGAGTAAAAAGCGAAACCCACCGCCATTTCTCTCTCCGGCGCGATACAATTTAGCTACGAATACAAGGATTAGAACATCCCAAGATCTCCCCCGATCGCATCCACATTCCTTCCGTTTCATTCCCGCCGTGCCCTCCCGGTGAAGAAGACAATCAAACACGACATCCATCTCCTGCTTTGATCCACAGGTTCATCCTCGTTTGGGTTCTTCGCTGCTATTCTATTTTAACTCTTTACGCATACCGAACAAACATCTTCGATTTAGGAACTCCAAAACCTAATGGTGTTTCTTAATGTTACTTAATGTTATCTTACTATGAAGTTTTTGTGGCGTTTTTGGGCGTTTCTCATTCCAATGCTCGTTTTTCATGTTGAGCCCTTGAAAAATTTTAGCTCCATTTTTCTTTCCGTATATGGTTTACATCCTGGTTTTAGTTGAGGATTCATCGGATCAGATGAAGTGTGCAAAAGGAATTAGTAGATCGAAGTGTAAAAATCATGTGTAAGTGAGGGGAGGGTAAAATGTAGGTTTTATGAATTGCATTTTTGATGATTCTTAATGAAGCTTACAGGTTGGATTCGTTTGAAAGAGATTGGGAGGGATTTTGTTGTGCATCAGAGCTAGATGGATGGCGGAATAAGTTATGTCCCTCCTGCATATGTTCCTCTAGGGCAGTCTGATTCAGAAGCGGAGATTATTTCCAGAGATGAGGGCAGCCATTCCACACCTAATGAACTTAAGGATGGATTGTCACAATGGTCGTCTGGAATATGTGCGTGCTGCGATGATATGCAGAGCTGTACGCTACTTCCTGCCTTCTGACCTTGATTTATGCGAAGGAAAAGTTATGAAGGTGCATCTTGAGTATAGAAAGGAAATGTATCATTACTTTGCATGTGTTCTTATATCAAATTGATAAATATTTGAATTGTAGGCCAATGGCTGTTTCGATTAGGGAACCCATCATATCCTGTTGTGAAAGCTTGCTCTGCCATTTATTTGTTGAGTTTTCTAGATCCAAGGAAGCGCTGAATTTTTCACTATGATTAGGTTTATTATAGGAAACCTGATCAGCCCTAAATGATGGGCATAGAGCGTGAAGAACTTTGATTAGTTCTCTAACATGTTCATGTTGTAGTATCAATTAGAGTCCCCAGTTTCAATCATCGAAGTGTGTATAAAGATTCGGACAGTTGATCTTTTGCGCCTTTAATTTTTTAGATACCAAACAGAATTTAGATAACATGATGATTTTATACGAATCTCTTTTTATATTTTTGGTGGTGGTTGAATATTACTATCAAGTCAAAGAGCATTGCATTTAAAATGATCTCGCATGTTAAATGGGAAGCTCATTGCAACTTTTCTTGGCGCAGGTTTTATTGGCCTTGTTTGTCCATGCTTTCTGTTTGGGAAGAATGCTGAACTTTTGGGTTCTCGAACAATGTTTGGGTCATGCGCAACTCATTTCATTTTGTGGGCACTTACGAATACAGTCTGCTGCCTGTTGACTGATGGACTTTTCTTGAATCTACCTGGATGCGTTCTTGCATGTTATGCTTGTGGCTACCGCAAGGCCCTACGGTCTAAGTACAATTTGCCGGTATTATATCGTACTCTTATTACTTTTTCATTGTTCATTGTCTTGGAAGCATGAATTATTTACAGATTATATATGGCACATAGCATTTATAAACGATGTTATGCATTAATCTTTTCTCCTGATGGCCAAGAGAATTCGAAGTTTTAAGTGGCTTTTTTCTTTACATTTGTCTCTGACACAAGACTGGGAGTTAGTTCTAATGTAACGACCCGACTTTTCGTACATATAGCGATCAGAGCCGTTATAAATGGTATCAAAGCCAAACACCAAGCAGTGTGCTAGCGAGGACGCTGGATCCCCAAGGGGGTGGATTGTGAGATCCCACATTGGTTGGAGAGGGGAACGAAGCATTCCTTGTAAGGGTGTGGAAACCTCTCTCTAACAAATGCGTTCTAAAATCTTGAGGAGAAGCCCTTGAAGGGAAAGCCCAGAGGACAATATCTGCCTGCGGTGAGTTTGGAAGGTTACAAAAGCATTCCTTTTAAGGTGTGAAAACCTAAAGACATTTTAAATCTTTGAGGGGAAGCCCTTGAAGGAAAAGCCTAAAAGACCTATGGGTAGGTTTGGGTTGTTACATCTAATGCCTTTATCCTCCATGGAATATAGCCCAGCTCACTACAAGTTCTCTAGTCAATGAATTGAGTTGCGGATTGCTATGCTTCCATGAGCCACACCTAATAATCTCCGAAATGTGATGCAGGAAGCACCTTGTGGAGACTTTGTGACCCACTTTTTCTGCCATTTCTGCGCTATCTGTCAAGAATACAGAGAGATTCGTGAAAGAGCTAGAGGATCCGGTCCCCATGATTTGAGTTTGGCTGTTGTTACCCCGCCAACAACTCAAACAATGGATTCTAACCCAGAAAAATAGTTCCTTAATTGCTGGAGCTACCGAGAAATACCGGTAACTTGTTAGATTTGCTCGCTTAGCACCCAGTTCTTTCTTTCCCTCTTTTGTTCTTACTGGACTTTTCAGAGTTTCTTCTTTCCCTCTTTTTTTATTATGAGATTTCCCCCCCTTCTTTCGTCTATTTAACATTGTAGTATTATTAGAAATTCAGTCCTACTAGTGATTGATAAAATTATGTTTTAAACATGAGTTATAATGATTGGTAAATTGATATTAAATATACTGTTTGTTTGATGTTGGTCTTTAAGATTCATAATTTACTATGGTTGATGTATTATTACGAAAGAGGGCTAAAACCTAAAGCAAAGTAATTCCTATTTTCAAGTTTTCTTTAATGTACCGTTAAGGTAGAATTTGTTGCTTGTGGATTGTAAATCTGTTGCTTTCGCCAATAGTAGATTCAATTTATATATATATATATTTAAAATGCATATATGATCATTGTTAGTATTTATATTATTTCAAAAGTATATAGAATTAGATCTAGTTCTTTGCCAAGGTGGTCTATTGTCTTTTTCTCCTGCACACACGTTGTTAACATGTGTTTTTATTGCTGAAAGTTGTTTAAGTTTTCATCGATAACTTTTCTATAATAATTTTAAACTGATTTAAATTTTAAACTTTAATACAAATGGAAATGTCTAGTAGTAGGTACGCATGTGTTTTACTTCGGAATTCATATAATATAGCCATATACACATACCATTCTATGTAGTTTCCTAAATATACATCTTTTTTTAAATTTTTTTTAATAACCTTCCATGATAAAAATTGCAATAAAACATTTATAATAACATTCAATAATAAAAAGTAAAATACTTTTTTTAAAAAAATATCTCCAATAAATGTATTTCTTTTCTTCTAGATACATGTTTAAGATCTTCCTTCCATAAGTTAAAATGTGGAAACTCTTTTATAATTTAATGACATGCTTTATTATTCAAGCGCGTTGTAGATATTCTATTTTAATAGTCTATTTTAATAGTGACGATATTGATCCATTGTTCACAGTATATTCTATATAACATCTACCTGTCACATTATATTTATTATATTTTATGAAGTTGGTCCTTCAATGACACAGGTCATGCATGTTCAAAGACCGAACATAAAGAGAATAAGCAATACTTGTATTCTATGCATACAATATTTCACATAATTGTTTAATATTTTATGAACTGAACTTGTACATTTTTTAAAACAACTTTATTTAAATATTATTTTAAATAGATCAAAAGATCCTTATAATACAATAAATATGAATCGAGACAAGTGTTCCAATGGCGCCATATTTAGGAGCGTTTACTGTGAAATCAATTTTCTCCGTGTTGTATCTGTCACGAACAGCCATGCCCAAAATTGTGTGTTTGTGTGTGTATATATATATATATATGTCACGAACGGCCATGAACGCACCAACCACTTGTCATTGCAGAGCTTTGCATTTTGAGAGAGAGAGAGTGACTTTTTTGGGATTCGTCTAATAATAGTATTGATTAGGAAGTTTTCGTCACGAGAAGCTCCACGGGAAATCAAGTATCTGTGTTTGTTTTGAACTCCAGAGTTGGTTCGCTTTCTACTCCTCATCTTTCTTCCTCGGTTAGCGCTTTTCTTTTTCATCGTCCTGTTTCGATGTCTTTTTCTTTTTTCTTTCTTTCTTTCTTTCTTCTCGCAATTGAAGGAAGGGAAAGAACCATGTTGTGCCACGATTGTGGTTTACTTTGGCGTATATCTTTTGTTTCGTTTGGAGTCTGAAGACGTTGAATGAGTTCAGGATTATATATATGTGTGTGTGTGTGTGTGTGTTTGAATGTGTTTCCATCTGCTTTTTGTTTTCGTTCATCTTTGCCCGTTTTTCTGATCTCATCGCATGAAGGCGGGGAAGGTTTTAATCTTAGAAAAGTTGCGGTAGTTCATATTTTTGGCGCCACTCTGTTTCTTTGGATGATTTTCTGTTTTGGATTTCTTTTTATATGAAGTAGACAGGGAAACGAGTGGGGAAATCTTAGCAATAAGAACTCAGAAATCTCTTAGCAAATCAGCGCTTGTGAATATTTAGAATAATAAAAAAAAATAAAATAAAATAAAAACCGAGTTTCTCTGTGTATTTCTTCATTTTTCCTCCTTCAGTTATTGTAATGATTATATTCTCTCACTCTCTCGCTAACTCTGTTCTACTCAGATTGAAGATTGAAGTCATACTGGTTGGAAGCAAATGGGGCTATTTCAAAGCTCAAATCCCATTTGCCCCAACAACCAGCACTGTTCGGAATGGGTAAAGAAGAATATGAAATACTGCTTCTGCAGTACGAAAGATGGAGTTTCTCTCACTCTGGGATTGATTAGTGTTATTAGTTGGGGTATAGCGGAGATACCCCAAATCATTACAAATTGCAGGGAAAAATCTTCCGAGGGCCTGTCTTTGGCTTTCTTGCTAACATGGATACTGGGGTATTTCCCTTTTTTTTCCTTGGCTTGCTTTCTTTGGGATTTTAACATTTTAGAAATCTAACTTTATTCAAATGAATTGATAGTATTTCTGAGGACTTCCAGTTTGAATAACAAAAGTTATCTTAGGGCATTTTTCAGTGAAATCTTGTTTGATTTTGGCTTGGTTGGCGTTACCAACTACTAGTTATATTTGCTGTACTCCTCTAATGATTTATAACACTGTTTTTTGTTATTCTTGCTACCTTTGATGGTGTTGAAAATCATTTGTTACCCTTCTTTCTTCTTTTTGATCACTGGAGTTTCATGGACTCTGCTCCTTGAATTATGCTTGTGGCCCATCTCTACTAATTTTGGGGAGGCTTTGCACACTCTAGGCCAACTTCAGGAGACAAGGAGTGTGTAAGTTATTAAATTTTCTAATTTGGAGTTTGAACCCAAAACTTTGGACTTTCGCTCATGTTCATGGAACCCTAACCACCCTTAAGCCAATAGAATCCTCTTCTGCCCTGCACCCAGAAAGGAGTGGTGGCGTATAGAAAGGGTTCTTTGACCTTGCTAATCGATATTTTATCTCCCTGCAGGGTTATGGTTAAGAATTTGGTAGAACTCTTTCTATAGTTTATTTATTCACATTATTTAGTTATGTGAATGCATCCGTACGAAAAATATTTTTTTTTTATTGCTTCGATTGTGGTACAAATGTTGGCAATATCTTTGAGGTATGGATTCATAAATATAAGCCAGTAAATGGTCAATCACCATGATATGTGCTTTAAATAGTTTTCTCTTGGATTGATTGAGTATTACATATCTACACGCCTCATTTATTTTTACATTCAAAGCTGCCAAGATACAGGAAAGAGTTTAGTAATCTTTACAATAATAATTCATTCGTAACTATTTTCCAGTGGAATTTTAGATTACTTGCAATTTTTTTTTTTTTTTTTTTTTTTTTTCTTTATAAATATTCTTTTATAATAGTGATAACTCATATATTTTTTAATTTAAAATTAAATTATTTTTATTTCTTTTTGACGGGTTTTCTTTAGAGTATCATATCGTAGATATGAAAGTGGAGGATTCAAAGTTACGAGTCCTTAAAAAAATATAACTCCAAACGTCGTACCTACTAAATTGTGATTAGATTTTGATAATTTTATTGTTCTGATAAAGTATTTATTATTATTTATATTATTAGGTTAAATTAATAAAAATA